GTTTGAAATTTTTGTGGATGCATATATAACGTTCAATTGATTTCATTTTTTTTTTTTTATACGTTTTTCTCAACGAAATTTTTCCACGTCAATAGATACAATTTTTTGGTTTCAATGTAACATATCTTTTATTTTATTTTCAAGTACGATTACGAGTTTCTTTTTTCGAAAAATATGCTTGTATTATTGATACATTGGCCGCCATAATGGAGGATAACATGCACTAATATCGTTAAACAATTTTTTTTTCCCACTGTTTCATGTTATTTGAAATTTGAATAAATTTGAATAAATACTTTAAAACTTGTGTTCAAAACAGGAAGGAATGTTGAGATTTTGAAGTTCGATTCCAACTTCCCTCAAATTGGATTTTTTTCCATCAACCAACAAATTTTTCCTCTCATTCGTGAGTCACTGCAATTTCTGCATGGAAAAAGTTAAGAATATTGTTAAACGATGTCGCAAGAGTTTTAGATTGCGAATATATCAGAAATAAGACCTTAAAAACTTATCTTATGATATTTCGAGAGATTCTTCATGCTACTTGTGATAACATGTTGGATGTGCATGCTATTCTATCGAGCAATATGATGAAATATAGATGAAATATCTATTTTGTTGAATCATGGACAAGTATACATCGTGCAAAAATCAGTATTATATTGGATTGGCCAATAGGTAATGTCGGATTTTTCTGTACGAGATTGTTTTTGAAACAAAAGATTGTTGGTTAAATTTATAAAACGCGTGTATAATTGAAAATAAAAATGAAAAGGCAAATGAATATTTCTATGCAATTCTTTTATTTTTGCAAAAATTTTTTTACAACTATAAAGATGATTTAAAATTCTTTACTTAATGTTTTAATTAATTTACTTTAAAAATGTTATCCAAGAATTATTTTTTATAATCTTTGTTAGAAACTGATTGTTTTTAAAATGAAAATTGATCAAATGATAGTGATTTAATGACAAGAGATAAAAATGGCAATTTAACACATTTTTATTACAAGTACAAGTAATAGAATTTCAATTATTCGTTCGAAGAATTTGAAAAAAGATACAAAAAAAAAAAAAATTGAAACTTAGAGGTGTAGGAGTCCAATTTATCATAGGCCTATTGTGATTACGCATATAGAACGAGATTTACATTGCATTTCACGTTCGTATGCAACTTGTTTATCAACATTTCAACGCCACTTCATAACTTTTACTCTGTATTTATTTTTATTTGATTTTGTCTTAATTTATAAAGCATTAAAAGTAAAAAATTTATAAATCACTTTTCACGCGTGAAAATATCCTAATTACAGGTATTATCTAAAACAAAGAGAATTTCCTAACCTCACTTCGAGCAATGCTTGCTCGAAGGTGGTGAAATTCACGGTTTTGACGCAAATTGCATTTTCTAACTTACTAATAATTTAAGCCCACGTTTTTTTCACATAATGTACTCTACAACGATGCATTTGTTGAATGCTTTATCATGTAAAACGCGCTACATTTGCGATACAATCACATACGAAGGGACAACCGACGGTGAATAGAAGGAACAATAGTTAATTACCATTACTGGACACGAGTGTCTCAGGCGAGTTTACAACAGCACTAGTCCCTGGAAAATCAATATCCCAAGTATATGTGCTAGTATTATTCGAGAGAAGCGACCGGCCTCCCCTCCATCATGCTTTTCTTCGACATATGGCATGTGTGCACGACCGATTTGCGTTAAAACGATCGTTTTACGCGACTCAATGCTTTCCTATCATTTGTAAAATTTTATTAAATTTCCACGAACGGCCATATGTCGTCAGTTTCAACAGCCACGGTCTCAACCAACACTTTTTTCTTTTAAATCAGTTGCAATTATTCTTTTCTCGTGGTTATATGATGAATGGATTTTTCGTAGCATGGTCGATTTTTTTTTTTTTATCAATTGGAATCCTTGATAAATTTTATACTTTTTATTTTTATTTATATTTTTATTTATATTATAATGTTATTAGAATGTTTCCGTTGAATTTAATGAGATTATAAAAAATAAGAATATAGTTTTTTATTTTAATATTGTTAATTAATATAAAAACGATAAAAAGAGAATTATAGAGATTAGGGCAAAAATAATATTTATTAGAATGATTAATTATTAAAATGTGAAGAAAAGAAAAAGAAATAAACTAATATATGAAAATGCAGTGTTCAATGGTTCCATATAATTTCTTAGTGGTTTCTAACTTTTTTTTTAATATTTATCAATTGTTAGTAAATTGAAACTAATAATAAGATACAAAAAAAATTACTAAAGATTTATTATTTAATTTATCTTTAACTTGTTTTATTTTTTATTTTATTTTATTTGTATTTTAAGAGTAATTAACACCAAAAAAGTACTGAACTTACTGAAGTTTTCAAAAGACTTGGTATGCAGAAGTTATTCAGTGAATTTTATTATTTCTTTAATACTCGTGTTACATTTAATTTATATATATTTTTTCAAAAATTGAACCCAAAATGAAAGAAACATTATTTTCACTCTTAATTTTATTATAAAAAATTAATTTTTTAATCTTTAGAATAATTAGGAGCAAAATTAGGAATAAATAAAAATTAAAGATTTTAGCAAATATAGAGATATTTATTTAATATATGATCTTACAACAATAAATGTTCAAATTTTTATCAATGTATAAATCACTTCCATTTGTTAAACTATTGAAAGATATTTATTTTTATCTTTATTTTTATTCTTTATATGAAAATTTTCATAAATAAATAATTATAAATAAAAATAATCATAGCGTCTCAGAAATTATTTTATGATCCATAAGTTGCGAAACACTGCAGCAGACGAAGAATCTATTCTACTGACGCGGAATGCATGCCAACAAATCTTCCTTTTGTAAGAATAAATAACATAAAATAAAAGGTAATAAATATTTATATATTATTTCATAAGAGATTGTATAAAACTCATAAAAAGAAACAGGAAATATGAAATAGATATAATAAATATAATATAGATTTTTTATAATCTTCAAATTTTGATCAAAGATTTTTTAAATAAATTTTTCTTAAATATAATTGTTATATAAAGAAATAATTATTTCATTGAAATATAAGAAAATAACATTTCAAATAATAATATAATTTTATTATATTTCGAATAAATTTTTAATTTTTATATTATTACAATATATTAAGATCGTATTATTGTAGAAAACTTAATATATAAATATAACATATAATAATTCAATGTATTTTCAAAATTTAAGGGTAAAAAATGAAAAATAAATATGTTTTTTACATAAATTTAAATATTGAACGATATGCTTAAATAATATTTATTTATGAAAATAATTTAATTTTCTTTGTATTTATCATTTCAAATTTTTCCCAATTCTGTGGAAAAGATTTAGCAGTAGAATGCAGTAGAATATTCTATTAAGTAATCAAATATAAAATTTCAGTACATGGCTTATGCTTTATCAAGTTGATTTTATTTATCTTATGACATAACATCTACATAGAATTGAAATTTTCGAAACTCTTTGAAATTGAAATCCTAAAACTTGGAAACTTTTTAATAATTTTGTGATTTGCAACTCGCGAAACATAATAAAATTATATAAAATGATTTATAACAATATTATAACGATACGAATATTTTTATTTAATTAACAATAATCTAATCAAATTTATATTTAAACTCATTTTAATTAGTATCATTTCGCCAATTATATTAATTAAATTAATTACACTAATTAAACATCGTAATTATATATAGTGAAAAATTTTTCGAAAATCAAAAAGATAATTATTTTGAATCGATTACCTTCCTCTTCACCGATTTCAATAATTATTATTTGAAATAAAACTGTAGTTAGCTTGTCTTCAATTTCGATGATTTTTAAATATGTTATAAAAATCAATATTTTTAAGAATTTTTCTTATACACATAGTCGGCGATCGATCTTAATTTTTGAAATATTTGCAAAAAATTAATAACTACTATTATATAAAATTTCATCTGTACATATGTATATGATTATTTATCTTTTGTTAATATAAAAATATCGCAATACATATAACGAGTAAGTCGATCAAAAAAAGTGAAATATCTTAATTTGAAATATTCCAGAGATCATCATATTGTTGTTAGTATCTATTTATAAAGAGTTCAGACATTTCAGATTCTGAATAAAATATAAAACAATCCTTAAACGAGATTATGATTGAAATTATGATGAAATTATTATGATTAGTATAATGTTATTAGCATGAATTAAAATTATAATATATTAATCAATAAATATATATATATACGTTCATAATAAACAAAAATTTTAAAAAAGTCATTCTCATTCAAATCCGTAAGAAACATTTTTGAGAAGTTCACTCGTTATATATTATGATAATACATAATATCGATTGCTGATTATCTAAATAATAGATAAGTAGTGGTCATACATTAATGAATGCACAGAATTCAATCATATATTGTTAAAAATATTTTGAGAATAATTCAAAAATTAATATACAACTGGTTATATGTAAAGAAAAAAGTTTCTTTTAATGGTATTCCAAACTCACTATGGATTGCTGTGAAGAGAGTAATCGATAGATTAATCCTAATTTATTATACATAAACTATAGACTTTAAAGAAGCTTAGCCGAGAATTAAAATTTGTTAAGACCTTACTTTTTTAACGAAAGAGATATTTCTCAAGAAAGAAAAAAAAGAACATTTTTAATTTCGAAAATTGCAAAAAAAAAAACATTTATAAGCTTATCTATAAAAATGTCAACGAGAATATAAGAGCAATATGTAAACAAATATAAAATTGTCTATATATTTAAGAATCAAAAAAAAAAAAACCAAGAATGAATTGCTTCGAGTATATATTCTTCGTAATCTATTTCACGGCCGATTCAACATTCGATTGATCTCTTTGACATAACTAAAACACGCCGAATTTTTCGTAACAGAACAGTGTTACCTACCTTGTGATTATCGATCCTTTTCTTTCCCATAAAAATTCCACTAGCATCGAATCAAAAGCAACTAATGTAAAAAAATATAACGTTAAATGGCGATAATATTGTTCATCAATGATGTTTTCGAGAATAATTGTGACAAGAGAAATACATGAATAGAATATCCAGTTTCAAAAATACGAGATGAAACGATGTATGGACGGTTCTGTTGAAACTCGAAATTCTATTGCCTGATATTCGTTGTTCGTCGTTCGAAGACACGTGGTTGGTCCGCACATAATGTTTCCAAAGTTCAAACAAATATTACACTTATCACTGAGAAAAAACTTCACCGAAGATGATATCGAAAAGCACGAGCAAAAATATGACCGTATACAAGTTTCATTCGTTCACCGAATCACTGAAATCATGGCCGACTTGCTATTTCTTCGATATGACTAGATTCGTATTTGTAACACCTGTCAGTATAAACCACTGAACAAAGAAAAAAGTAACAATTTTTAACTCAAGTTTGAAGAACTCGAAGGACACAACACCATATTAAGTTTACACAAAAATAGCATGAAAAGAGTCATAAATTTTTCTTTGAATGCCACTTACAATATTAATAATGTTACGACAGGAGCACGATTTCCATCCGGAACGATCGAATCTGTTATTCTGGTTGACGCAACATCGAACCGTTGAATCGAGTTGGATCCTTTCGAACAGAAGGAAAGAGAGGGAGAGAGAGGAAGAGAGAAGTGAGGAGAGAAAAGGAGGGAGGAAAAAGTGGGGAAAAAACAAAAACGAAGTACAAAAGTATAAAAGGGCGTAGCAACAAGGACAAAAGTGAGAGAAACGGAACGGAGGAAAGGCAGGAGAGAAACAGGAAAAAGACAGTGCAAAAGCGAAAGAAAAGCAGAGTACAAGCGAATGCGACGAAAGCGACGTGATCCGTAAAAGAATCCAAGGTAAAGAAACGAAAAGACGTAACGCGTGTCAAGTGCCACGCACGACTGATCGCCCGTGGTAAGTTTGGGGCTGACGCCTGCGCGATCTGACCTTCCCCCACTCCCTCATTTCTATCCTTCTCTTGTACACGTTTATCGTACTCGCTCGCGGTCGACGCACCCCCACCATTACGGCCATCCACCCTCCGAGCAGGACGATTCGCGATATTCTCTTACCGCGTCGCGTCGCACCGGTTAGAGCGCTCCCTTGAACTGAAAACACGTTCACGCCGTGTTTATGACCGTTCTTCTTTCTTTTCCTGTTTCATCGTACATAAATGTTTTTCGTTTCTTTTTTACGCTCCAGGTCAGATAAGTCATACATTTTTTATTCTTTCTTAAAAACAACGCGTATATACACAAAAGCACGGTTAACAGAAATATATTTATTTATTATAAATTCAAGACCAGTTGATAATATATAATTGTTAGGAATACTACAAAATACTAACACTTTGCTTCGTTTTTATCAAGAATCGATGATCGTACAGTATGACAGCTAATGAAAGACAAAGAGGGATTAAAAGCTGAAACGTTTAAAGAAATTTATGAAGTATTGTTTCGAATTTATGAAGTAATTACTCGCTTCATTGAATCCGTAAAAAGAGCTCGAGCATATGAAACGAATACATATATATAAAATTCATATATATATATATATAATTCTAAATACAAGCACCTGTAGTTATGTAATATATGTATATATGTATACATAGTTGCTACGTTGTTGATAAAATAATACTGCCATTTTTAATATAATATTATTCATACACAAAATATTAAATATCTACACATGTATAATTTTATTTCCATAAAATGAAAAATGAATATTTTCCACAAATAAGTTATTTCATAGAATTAATACGTAGCAAAGATAACTATTAATATTCAGTTTAATAAAAGTAAAATAAATTGATTTCGTCACGAATTTATCCTTTTTTAAATATAAATTTATCAATTATTTTCGAGAAATTTTTCCAAATATCTTTTTTTCTAAGTAATATACTTATTAAAATTTTACACATAACAAGCAGTCTGCAGCTGCCTTTGGCTTTGGTCGTCCAGGTGCAGGGGCTATTGCATTCCTGACAGGCACAGCATTGAATATATACATAATTGAGTATTTACAGCTGATACTTGTAGAGAAATCTCACTTTTACACGCAGTTGAAACAAACTGATAAAATATGTTAGACCAAAAATAATATATATATATATATATATACATTACAAATTTATGAACCTGTTCTGTATTACTCATCGAAACGATATTATATATCGTTATCACTCTTACGAGACGAGACTATATTTCTATGCTGTTACATATTGATAAAAATATAAATAACTTTAAGGCATGTATATCGTGATAACATATTCTAAAAATCGATACTATATCTGCAATAAAGATTTTACAAAGATTAATCGTTCAAATAAAATAAAATTCTCGTTTATCTTTTAAAAAAAAGTAAGTGATATACATTAGAAAAACATTAAATATTTCTCGTTTACTTAGAAAGTAAAATACATAAGTAGAAAGAAAGTATATAAATCATTTATCGTTTTTGACAAAAAATACAAGCATAAAGACGAAATCGTATATTGAATTGTTAAATTATAAAATTAAAAAAATGAAAATTAATATAATCATGGGACACTTTGAAGGATCAATTCTAAAGTCTAGATTCAAAAAACAAACATAAAAGTTGGTATACAAAAATTGAAGCGTATATATTAGACTACGATTACAACGAGAAAAATGAACACGAATGGAAAATATGTCGGATTATGTTGCATGCAGATATGTATACTGTTTTTTATATACATGTTATATAGGGTCACATAACGTGACCATTTTAAATAACTCGTACACGATGTGGAAGAAAACACAATTTGATGTTATTTTTCCACGGATGGATATATGAAGGACACACGAAGGTCAGTTTTATTTTTAAATTATACTTTTTAATACATTAATCGATGGTTAAATGGTTATATATGAAATATGTAAAACTAAAAAAAGCTATTAAACCATTTATAGCAAGAAATTATTAATTTTGAAGATATTTTAAATACCTTATTAATTATTTAAAACGCATAAATACTTTTATGGCACAATTGATCAGAATATAACGCAATACTTGTTCTCGTGTTTTTTATGCTTATATTATAGCTTGATAAATTATTGCTATCTTATCCATAACAATAATTCGTCTGGGGAAAAAATATTAAAAACTTATTTGTTAGAAATGACACAAGATTTTGTCAAACTTAGATCGTCCATTTTCTTCCTCGTATTTCATCTTTTTTTCTTAAAAAAAATCTTGAATTTTTAATTTTGAAAATCTTTTAAAACTTTAAATTTTAAAGACAGCCAATCTAATAACATTTATTATTTCGTAGTAAATAAAAAAATTGAATTTTTACGTTCCATCTTTCCTCCTCCACATTTAATCGTTTTGATTAATTAAACAATTGTCAATTACAATAATTAAATAAAAATGCATTGTTACAAAATTCTCACAAATTGTTTATCCGTTATTTACCCTTTCGAAAGAAGAAACTTTTCGAACATCTCCAATGATCTCGAGCTTCCTTGATTTTTTTTTGACCGATTTACGTGAATTCGTGATATTAACGGTGTGTGTCTGTGTCCCTGAAACTGGCTTACATGCGCTACAACATGTTAAAATACACGCATCGACTCCTCAATAACATAGTTTCAAATTGCGCATCGGTTTCTTTCAAACAGTCTACGTACACTGAAATCGGGCCTTGCTTGACCAACACGGTACAACAGATTCGTGTGTCGGTGTAAGTCGTATTTGATACACGTCGATACATACAGTCCACGCATATATGCACCGTAAAATTTAAGTATATCGATGAATCGCAACATGTTTCTTTCCATGTATCAATTCACTACCAAGCCAATCAATCTTTTCGTGTCCAGACAAAGATTGCACAAAAAATAAAAATATACAAATAAACGAACTTTTTAATTACAAAGTTACAATCATGCAATGGGATAAAAACTGGAAAAAGATAAATTGAGAAAAAAATAAGAAATTTGTTTGACTGGTTATTCACTTACTTATTCGAAATCTTATTATTATTAATTATGCTGCATTTATGTATATAATACACGATAAAAGAAACTATATAAAGAAACAAACGCATTTAGAGAAATGCAGTTGCGACACGTGCCAAATATCGGATTCTTGGATTAATCTCGTTTTTTCTTAACCTCTTAAGCACGCGTGAGTGAGATAAAACAGAGTCGAAATTAACACTCCGGCGTTGAAATACGATCAGAAGTGCGAGCTCAGAAACCGTTATTATTATTATTATTACATATTGCTATTTTATACTTTATACAATATACTATACGCTATAATAGTATACAACACAGTCAAATGTAAAATCTTGTATAAGCTCTACCAAACAAGTTGTAGTTTATCATATCATCTATATTATGAAAATTGAATTTCAATGAAACTCGAATATGCAATGTGTGATGGAATAATTTTCTTTTTTTTTTTTTTAGTTGAAATATTACTTCGAAAGAATGAAATCAAGCTTCAACATTTGCATTTTTGCTTTTATTATTAGGAATTCATTTCATCATTTATTTTATTTATTTTCTATCACAAAATTGTGATTTTGAATTATTTGATATATTTTTAATCCCGATTTCAATCTCAATATTGGATAAAATAGATAATCAAAAAAGGGAAAGTTTCATGAAATTTGAATAACATTTATCACATTCACTGTGTTTTTCTTTTTTTGTCCAAAAATCAAGTTCTATATTTTGCTTTCGAGATAAAGTAAAAAAAGCAAAACCTTTGTCAAAAAATTATGAGTAGAAATCATTTCAGAATCATTCCTTCATCCTTTTTTAATAACAATTCTTCTTACGAATGAAAAAAAAAAAAAAAAGAAACAAAAACAATGATTCGCAACTCATGAAAATGAGGAAATGAAAAAATATTTCAGGGAGAAATGAAATTTTTTTTAAGACATTCATCTTCGTTCGTACGGTTTTAGCGATGAACTCGTTAAGGATGAAAGTTAAAACGGGAATGAATGACTTGCAATTCATAAAAATCAAGAAATATCGGGAAAAAAGACGAAACGAGAAGAAAGAAGGAGAAGATAAAAGAGAGAATGTGTGATTCTAAATATTCGTGTCGGTGCGTGGTTGGCCAGCCACCTTCCTGTTCCTAAAATAACCCCTTTGAACCGAGTTTCACCCTCGTGAAAAGAGAAAGGAGAGGGAAGGGGACGAAGCACGTCACACGCCGTTGGATATAGCACTGATATGGTAACCAACCACTACACTATCGTAACCAAGTATTATGACTAATTGTCACTATGATTAAATAATTTCACTGAGTAAGAGAACGCAAATTTAATATTGAAATCTGAATATTGGTTTTCATTGGTGTATATACGATAAGAGTATAATATAAATAAAATTATAATTATAACCAAATTTTTTTCTTCTTCTTTCCGTGTTGAAACTTTTGCGTGTACATATTTCAATTTTTCTGTTTCTTTTTTTGCGATTTTCAAAAAAAAAAAATATATTAATGTAAATTTGATGCATTGTATATTGTGATATAATAGAATAATATATTCTATTTATATTATCATTTCAAGTTATTATTAAATAATAAAACGAATCTCAATTATTTACTTATTTCACAAAAAACATTTATAATCATGAATCTAATGTTTGCTTATTATTAGACTCATTGCAATTGTGCAAAACGAAATATAATTTATTACGCGAATATCGTAAAATAAAAAAATAATATTATTATTATATTTGATACTTACGTGTAATTAAAGTTTATTTGTCGATTCGTCGAGAAAATATTTACATTTATTTAAAGCTTTATTTCATATATTATTCCGTAAGTCCTTTGTTATTTTTTTTTTCTGAAAATTGTTTATAATTCCTAGCATTCAAGCTGGGAACATCGTTTCAATTCTCAAATTACTGCAATCGAACATCCAGACCGGACTTGATAAACCCACTACAACAAGCTTATCCACTTATAAGGGAGACCTGGGGGTCTCATCGAGTTCAATTTATGCTGCGTACATCTACCACGAATCTCCGTTTTCACCCTCTACCGATTTCCTCTCTACGGATTAAAACGAACACCTTTTACCGGTTCAAGAATATCAAATCTCGAGAACGATCATACCTGGTTGTGAACCTCGAAAGGACAAACGTCAGAACGAGAGAAG